CAAAACATAATGTCCCAGATGTGCTCAATTGGATTCAGGTCTGGGGAACGGACGGGCTAGTCCATAGCATCAATGCCTTCGTCTTGCAGGAACTGCTGACACACTCCAGCCACATGAGGTCTAGCATTGTCTTGCATTAGGAGGAACCCAGGGCCAGCATATGGTCTCACATGGGATCTGAGGATCTCATCTCGGTACCTAGTGGCAGTCAGGCTAGCTCTGGTGAGCACATGGAGGGCTGTGCGGCCTCCCAAAGAAATGTAACCCCACACCATTACTGACCCACTGCCAAACCGGTCATGCTGGAGGATGTTGCAGGCAGCAGAACGTTCTTCACAGCGTGTCCAGACTCTCACGTCTGTCACATGTGCTCAGTGTGAACCTGCTTTCATCTGTGAAGAGCACAGGGCACCAGTGGCGAATTTGCCAATCTTGGTGTTCTCTGGCAAATGCCAATCGTCCTACACGGTGTTGGGCTGTAAGCACAACCCCCACCTGTGAACGTCAGGCCCTCATCCCACCCTCATGGTGAAAGGGTTAATGTTGTAATGGACTCTAATCCCCTCGGTTCTCGATCCCTCGGTCACCATAATCAACGTTGATGGAGAATCATTTGTAAGCAATAACACACGGACAACAGCTTTACAAGACTCTCAAATGAGTGTATTCCAGAGCTGGCTTTTATACATAGTGTGCTTACATTAGCCATGGTATATGCAAATACAGTACAGACTATAAGATTTATTACTTCCTTATATTACGTTATTCTGACAATGGAAAGATAAGCTTTTGCATACGTCTGGAAAAGAATATCCTTAAAATCGGAATGGGCAAGACATCCTGAAATTTAGCATTGTCTTACATCCTATAGAAGAAATACCTTAGTCTGTCACAGTCAGCATATTATGTAAGTATTCAATATCCCTTCAGTCAGCAATAATCATGTTATAAACCTTATAAAAGCATAAAATACATATAAACAAGTTAACTATTTAATATTCTTACATTCCCCTCTTTGAGCAATAAAACAATTGCTCATCTTATCGATAAAATCTTACCAGGACAGAGAAACTTCCACATGGTATTTTCAGGGGTGCTAGTCACTCCCTGCGGGACTTTCATTAATTTCTTCACCTCGATTCCCATGTGGTAATTCCTAAGGCCCAGTTTAAAGATGGGTTGATACTCTACAGTGGCAGAGAGGAGAATTTTTAATTGTTTCTGTTCTGCATTATGGATTCATTTCTGTACTCTCTTCCTCAATGTACAAGTAAGGTGACAGTTATATAAAACCATACACAATAAAATCAGGACTATAATAACAAAATGATAGAAGAATGATTTCATTATCTGGAATCCAGTAGGGGACCAACCAGTAAAGCATCGTACCAATGATGGGCTAAATCATTCTGAATTTGTGAACTCACCTTAAGGAGTTCTCCTTTTAGGATATGTGTGGCTACCTGTGTGTGTTATCTTTGGGAAAAATATAGTCCCCTGTGTATGTGGGTGCCCACCAGGTTAAATTCTTGGCAAAAAGATCATAAACTGGTACTGGTAATGTGTTAAATTGACAAGCTAATTTAACATCCTTTGATGATGTATGATATAATGTAAAATAGCATGAGCGTGAAAAATGTGAAACATTACCAGTTAACCATCCATTGCATTTACTGGATTGGGGTTTTAGAAGTAACCAATCATTATCTGTGAGGTTACACATTCCTCTAATCTTCTCTAGTTGAGGAATCATTAGTGTGTTTTCTAATGCCAATCCTTGTTGTTGTATCCATAAATACCTGATGGCACAAGTACTCCAGTTACTTAGATCTGTAGTGAATTTCATAGTTGCAACAGTTAAATTATCTAAATAATTATACATTGATTTATCTAAATCCAATCCTATAACCTGTGATTTAACAACAATTGGAGCCCAATTTGCAGTAGCATGAAAACCAGTCCCTATATGCATGCTGGCTGTGTTTAACTTATTCTTGAGGGTCTCCATATCTATAACTATTTAGTATACCCATAGTGGTTCCAGCACCATCTAACAGTGTGTCATACCATTCCCTTTTCTGCCTTTGTTTGTTGTATTACATAATGTTACAACAAGAGTAGTGACTTTTAATGACACATGTACAGCTTGTAAGAAGGCAGTTGTATTAACACATGTGGACGGAATAGGTGTGTGTGTGTCGTGTTTGACTTTTGGTTCTATGATAGTGGATGAAGGACAGTAATAAGGTGTAAAAATATAAGGTAGTGTATAGTTCTCAATTGTAGTGTTGTTCATAATGACTAACATTTGTCCCCTTCTCCAATTAATGATACCAGTTATTTAATCATTATTAAAAGTAATAAGGCCTGTCTGTTTACATTGATATGCAACCTTAACTGTGCACATTTCTGCGTTATAAGATCTAACAATTTTCTGTGAACCTTCAAACAAACATAATGCATCGGTTTCATTAGCTGTAGACACATTTCATATGGGTAACTGGTACTTATAAGGGTTACTATTTGTCCAATTCATCCAAATGCGTTCAGTCAATGAATGATTGCATATTGCATGCTGATAGAAAGGTGGTGGAGAAAGGTTCTTGAGGGGGCGTGTGTGACGAATGCTAGATGAGGGGCTAAGGCCTAATTGGGCTGGGGGTATTGAAGAATTGTTCATCATGTCAGAGTCTTTTTCCAGAACTTGCCATTGACTTGTACTCATAATGGCATTCAAGGAACAATATCAGAGGGAGTATAACAACTCCAGAAAGCATAGCGCACAACATAATCTTGGTCTCAGGTACGTATGATCCTCTCAATCTACGATATGGTGTAAAAGCCATGATGCTTCGCTGAGGAGAAATTCTTCTGTTTCCGAGCGAGGAGTGGTGTTGTCTTCCTTGGTTCCCCTCTTTGGACACAGCTTCACTCGGGATGCGTGAATCCAGATGTCGTGGGAATCTGTGAGGACAGCGGTTCTGGGTACAGCAATCACAGTAGCAGGTGGTCCAAAAGGGTATCCTCCTTTCTTGGTCCTGTTCAACTGACGGATATACACCTTGTCACCGGGATGGTATGAATGAGTAGGTTCCTGTGAAGGTAAGGGAAAACTGCGAAGAAACATTGTCATACATACCATTCGGTTTTATCAACAACTCCTGTACATATTGTTCTTGTATTAGCTGTAAATCCCCAGACATTATAACAAGCAGTTCCCTGGCCCAGGGTGTGGGAAAAGGTCATCCCATCAAAATCTCAAATGGAGATAATTTAGTCACCTTGTGGGGATTCACTCTTATCTCAGCTAAAATAGCTGATTGATATCTAGTCCAATTTACCCATGTTCCTGGGTAAATTCTGGGCTTTTCCTTAATAGTCCTATTCATCCTTTCAACTACCCCTGTATTCTGTGGATGATAGGGTATATGAAACTGCCAGGTAACTTGCAAGAATTTAGCAAGTTCCTGGGCAACCCTACTTGCAAAAACCGGGCCATTATCAGAGCCAATCTGCAGAGGGCAGCCATACCTGGGAATAATTTCAGTAACAATAATCTTCACTAGCATCTTCCCTAGATGTCACAAAGGCCTCATGCCATCTACTAAACTGATCAACTATGACCAGTAAGTATTGCTGTTTCTTACCAATTTTGGATACATGAATAAAATCAATCTGTAAGTGTGTAAAAAGAGCAGCGTTTACACGATCTTACAAAAGACTGTACATGCTGCCTGAGATTCCTAATATAAAATGAATTCATGAGGAATTGAATGGTGCTTGCTATGTGCCTGACTGATGAAAATAAATCAGCTTGCTTCAAGTATGCCTATTCTTCAAGTATGCCTATTCTCCCCTCTTTAGAGAACAGATCATTCTGATCTTTCTCTAAACCTTGTTTAATCCAAAAGACAGATTCTGGGTATTAAAAAAAAGAATCTCATAACCACTGAAGCGCTGGGCTGTCATGTGTTGTATGGTGATATTTATTATCAGCTGAGTGACCTGGTGACTGGCATGAAGTATTGTAGGATGCCCTAGTGCAGTGGTAGTCAACCTTTTTCCACTTACCGCCCACTAATGCATCTTTCTTGATGGAAAAATTTCCTTACCGCCCACCAGTTTTCGCGCAAGCGCGGAATATTTTTTAGAAAGGAGGGTGTTTTAAAAAATACATAAATGAACGTACATTTATCTTTTTATTTCTACTTTATGCATGTTTATAATGTTTTTAACTTTATAAAGTTTAATGAGGAAGCAATAAAGTAAATTGAACTTACCTTTACTAGTGATTAATGAGATCCTTGAGGTTGATGCTGCGAGACTAAATATTTGATATCTGGTTCGATTTTCATAAGGAACAAACGAAGGTCTCCTCTTTCAGTGATAATCGGAAGACTTCTTTGTTTGCTCATAAAATGATTTCTCATCTGTGCATCAGCTCCCCTCCTCTCCCTCCTCAATTCCCCTTCCCACCTTTTTCCCCTTTTTTCTATTTTTTAACCTTCCTTATAGCAATGCCCAGTAGGAAGGCTGAGCTAGGTAGCCCACTTACTATTATTAGTCAACAACAATTCTCTCCTTTTCCTTTTCTTTCCTTCTCCTTTTTTACAAGTACTCTACTCCTTTCCTCTATACTAGAAGTACTCTACTCCTTCTTTCCCCTATACTAGAAGTACTCTACTCCTTCTTTCCCCTATACTAGAAGTACTCTACTCCTTCTTTCCCCTATACTAGAAGTACTCTACTCCTTCTTTCTCCTATTCTACAAGTACTCTGCACCTTCTTTCTTCTATTCTACAAGTACTCTGCTCACAGGCAAACACATACACACACACACACTCACATTGAAACACATACACACAAATATACACATACTCACACATGCACTTACAGACACTCACACATGCACAGACAGACCCACAGACACACACACACTTACTGACACACACACATACACTTACAGACAGACACATACACTTACAGACAGACACATACACTTACAGACAGACACATACACTTACAGACACAGACACACACATACACTTACAGACACAGACACACACATACACTTACAGACACACACACATACACTTACAGACACACACACATACACTTACAGACACACACACATACACTTACAGACACACACACATACACTTAGAGACAAACACATGTACACACAAATTATTAATATTAAATATCCACCCAGCCTCCCTACCTGGAGAGCTGGTGTGGATCTGTCCCTGGGGTCCAGTGGGGCTTCACTTAGGCGGGCGGCTAATCAGACGCAGCGAGGGAGCTCTAACCTCTCTGCTCTGCTCCCTCGCGGACTGTCTACGGATGCCGGGAGCCGGAATATGACATCATATTCCGGCTCCCGCGGCATCAGCAAACATCGCGCGAGGGAGCAGAGCAGAGAGGTTAGAGCTCCCTCGCCGCGACTGATTAGAACGCTGCCATGCCGGGGGGTCCAGAAGGTGGCCTGGCAGGAGGGAGCGCTTCCTCCTGCCGGTCACTGAAGACTTGCGCATGCAGAGCCGCTCGCGCCCGCCCAAAAGGAGAAATCCTCTTAAAAAGAGGATTTAGCCTCAGAAATCCCTACCGCCCACCTGGAATCCTAAAACGCCCACTAGTGGGCGGTAGGGACCAGGTTGACGACCCATGCCCTAGTGTGATAGTAGTAGCAGTTTCAACAGCCATTGCACATGCTATCAATGCTCTGAGACACGCCGGCATACCCTGTACCGGAGCTCGAACTACTTTGGAAAAGAATGCTATGGGACGCATACCGCCTCCTTGCTCTTGTGCACAGACTGCGGCCATGGTTTTACAATTGTCCCAAACATACAAATGAAATGGTTTACAATACACAGGTAGTCCTAAAGCCTGGGCTTGCACAATAACAACTGTAAGGGCAATATATGCAGCTAGCATGTCTGGTGACCAGCAGACATTTTCAGGGCTGTCAGAACGTACAGCCTCCCTTAGGATTGAGTCATAATGGGAGCATTCAGGGATCCATTGGCGGCAGTAATTAATCATGCCGAGGAAGGTGAGCAACTCCTTCCGAGTAGTGGGTGTAGGAATCCTCTGAATGACCTCAATACGTTTTGGACTCAATTGTCTGGTGCCTAAAGCCAGAACAAAACCTAAGTATTCAACCTTTGATTTACACAATTGCATTTTGTGTTTAACAACCTTGTGACCTACAGTTGCTGACAGTATCCACAGTGCTTGCCTCATAGCTAGGGCTACATAACAACAAATCATCAACATTTTGCAAAAAGGACGGAACCATGACCGGTGGTCCATGTTTTTTAGAGTATGTTAGAGTACCAACGAATAAACAGCTGGGGAATCCACATAGCCTTGGGTAAGCGTGTCCAGGTAAACTGACAGCCTTCAAAAAGTAAAAACCATAAGTAGCTGTGTCTCTTGATCAATAGGTATAGAAAAAATGCATTACTTAAATCAATGACAGTGAAGCAAGTGGCATCATGTGGAATGGCTGTAATGAGGGATGTCACATCAGGGACAATGGGTGAAATGGGCACAATTAAACTATTCAGGGCTCTAAAGTCCTGAACTAAGCGATATGCTGGCCAGTGGTGTTGGGAGTGGGTCTGGTGTTGTTCTTGCCTACCGGGCATATTTTGAGAATTGTGGGGTTGTTGGGTGTGTGGGGTTTCCTGGGGTTTCCTGGGGTGTGGACACTCATTCCTCCAGTGGCCATATTGGCCACAGTTGAAACAAGTGTTCCTGTCTATTCCTCCTTGGTTACCCCTATAACCCTGATTTCCCTGTCTCCATCCCCTTGCTCCTCTTTGACCACCCCTTCCACGGGCTTTATGTGCTCCATCCCATCCTTGCTCTCATCCTGTGTAGGTGGACAGTGTTGCAATCCCTGAGCATAATAAGCAACCTTACTTTCCTAAATCTTTTCTTAATTCAGAACAACCTGCATTTTCCTTTTCTATAACCTTGGTAAGAAAATCTGAGCTATCCAAATTGTCCCAGTCTGAAATCAATTGTTTCACAAACAAAGAATACTGTGGCAACATATTACCAAGGCATGACTGTATTTTAAAGATATCTATATCATCTCCAGACATCAAACCTGCCTCATCCTTCCAACACTTGTAAAATTTCTTTACAAAAATCATATTACCAATCTCTTCCTTTGCATCTTGCTTATATGCCAAAGCAGTGAATATAGACTGCTTATTCTTCCATAATCCCAACATTTCAGCTTCCACCTTGTTCCAAATTTTAGCACATCTTACTGAAGTACTAAGCTCATAATCACCAATTCATTTCAAACCATATAACTCATACTCAGCATCCAATGTAATATTACACGTCATCTCACAAAACAATATCTTTGTAAAAACACATAATGGGTACCCAGCAGATATGCCAATACAGAAATCACATTTATGGGCACACAACTACACACTCTGTCTCCCTCCTAGGAAACACAGATAGACACAATATAAACGCAATCTTAAACTAACACCTCCAAATCTCCAACTATTCTTGGCCAAAACGCTAGTATTCAACAACTAATAAAACAGTTATTTGCTTGAAACCACGGAGCAACGCAGGGAGGAGTGGGCCTTGACAGAGCCAGGAGTAGGCAGGGTGAAGTTCAGGTCAAGAGGCTGTCCTGTGATTGTGCTGGGGGGCGTGGGTTAGAAGGGAAGTTTAAATAGCGGCCATTTTAGGGTAAGTTCATTCTAACTTGAGCCTTTCTTACCTGTAAATTGTTGCAGGTCGGTTGGGCTCCTCTTTTCTTCTTTTCCAGGTGCAGCATGGCGTCATTAGAAGAACTTCTGTCAGGTCTGCGGTCCGTGGTGCAGGAGAAGGGAATGGCGTGGCTACAGGAGCAGCTGGGGGTTCCGAGCACGTCTGCTCCCCCCCATGCGGTGCCGGATCGGAGGCCGGAGAGGAGAGCTAGGCCGCCCCAGCGGCTTAGTCCTGGAGCGGGTCCTGCAGCCAGACGGAGGAGGAGCTCGGCGGGAAGCAGTGCGGCGGCCGGAAAGCAGGGACGTGGAGCGAGTCGTCGGCCGGGACCGCCAGCTAGGCGCAATGCCGGGGCGGTGAGGTTGCAGGCCAGGAGGAGGCCTCCCTTGAAGGGCGCCCCCTGCCGGATGGCGGCGGGCGGGCAGGCGGAGCTGACAGCTGGTGCCGGAATGGAGCAGGACGGAGGGGAGTCGGCTGCAAGACCCAGGAGCAGCCCTGGACGTCCCGGTGAGTCGCCCCCTGGGGGCAGCACTGTGGGGCAGGAGGGATTGAGAGGGGCTGGCAGTGGCAGGACAGCGGTCTCACAGGTTGGGGAGAGGGACCAGGTCAGCAGGGCACGGCAGGAGGCGGCTGGAGTTGGAGGCAGGAAGGATAGCGCTGCGGATCCAAGGGATCAGAGGAGCATGGCCAGGAGCTTGGGAAGAAGGGGAGACGGGCACAGCATCGGCAAGTCTGGGGACCCAGGAGACAGGAGGAGTGGCAGTATGGAGCGGAGTGGCAGCAGGCGGGTGACTGGCCAGGAGGACGGCGGCACCCAGGACAGCAGTGGGCGGGAGGCCTCTAGGGGTCGATCCCAGGAGCGGCTCGATAGGAGGAGCGCCAGCAGAGGGAATGGCGGAGGATGGCAGCGCGGAAGGGCAGAATGGCGGGACAGCAGGTCAGGGTCTGCAGGCAGTAGGAGACATGGGAACGGGAGCCCAGCAGGGAACCGGAGCAATAGGAGGAGGTCAGCTTCTCGGGACAGGTGGCTACGGCGCCGGCGCAGTGAGTCAAGGTCGTCTGAGAGGAACCACACGGCACGGAGGAGGAGAGGTAGCGAGCGGGAGGGACGATGCAGGCAGGGAAGTGGTGAGGACGGGTCTGATCACGGAAATGAAGGGCGGGTGAGGCTGCAGTCGGACAGATCACCCAGGCTGTATTCTCCTTGCAGGTCGTTGAGTAGGACGCCCACGAGAGCAACACACGAACAGGCGGGCAGGAGTCGGCGTCCCCTGGTTCCTTCTGGGTCGGCTGTCGTGGTGGAAAAAGTGGCGCCCCCGCGGCCAGCAGCGGCCGGGGGCTTGAGCGGTGAGTCTCCAACTGCATCACACACAGGAAGCTTACTTGGATGTTTAAGATCTCTGTTAGATTCATGGTCTGGGGACGGGGGGTCTCCGACACAGTTTGAGAAAGTGTGGGTTGCGGACGGCGGTCGGGCAGCAGGGGTGAAGGCCGCAGCGTCAGCGGAGCCGAAAGGGGGTGAGGGCGCCGCGGGGACGGGTCAAGGAGCGACGGGTGACGTGGGTGAGCATGTCGTTCTCTGCGGGGAAGTAACAGATGCAGCACGGCAAAATGTGCATGTGTCTTTTGTGGGACCGCTAGGGTGCCACTTAAAGGTGGAGGTTAAGGAGAAAATTTGGAAAGGGGAGTTCGTGGAAATATTTTCCCTGCTTCCCCTGGAGGAATTTTTAGACTTGAAAGAAGAGGATAAAAAGGATGCGAAAAAGGAAGAGGAGGAAAAGAGGCGGAGGTATCGGAAAATACCCAAGTCTTTTGGGAACTGGTTGAGGGCCTTTTGTATTTTGGCGAGCGTGATCGGGGAAAAATACCCGGATCGATGTTCGCAGCTTTTTTGTTATTTAGACGGGATAGGGGACGCATATCGGACCTATGGGGGTTTAGCATGGTGGAAATATGACGAACAATTTCGTCAGCGATTGGCGGCAAATCCGTCCATGCGGTGGGACCAGATGGACTTGCCTTTGTGGATGAGGCTGATGATGGCACAGAAAAGTGCCCCCTTTCTCGGAGCGGCCGGCACGGGCTCAGGTACCGTGTCGGCAGGTCAGAAGAAAGGTTTCTGCTGGCTCTACAATGAGGGCCAATGCAAGTGGGGTGCATCTTGCAGATTTAAGCACGAGTGCTCCGGTTGCGGGGGTAATCACGGAGTTTCCAGGTGCTTCCGAAAAGGTAAGCCGAACTTGGGAGGAGGGGTTGTCGGCACATCAACAGCTGCGGCTGCAGCTGGGAGCGTCGCCGGTGAAGGTAAGCGCGATGCTGCCTTGGTTAAAACTATACGATAATCAGGAGGTGGCAAAGTTTTTACGGCTGGGTTTTACAGAGGGTTTCAGGATTCCGTTTCAAGAAAGGGCTGCGGGTGGGTTATGTAAAAACCTTCGGTCAGTGGGGGAACATCCGAGCATAGCTCGGGAAAAGTTAGGTAAGGAAGTGCAATTAGGGAGGATGGCAGGACCATTCGCTTCCCCGCCGTTGGTTGGTTTGCGGGTGTCTCCACTTGGGGTAGTCCCCAAGAAGGAGGCGGGTAAATTTCGTATGATCCATCATTTATCGTACCCACAAGGTACATCGGTTAATGATGATATCGACGAGGCCCTGTGTTCTGTTTCCTACACATCATTTGACAAGGCTGTCGAGTTGGTTAGGAGAGCGGGACAAGGGGCTCTAATGGCGAAATTGGATGTGGAGGCAGCTTTCCGGCTGCTTCCCATACACCCGGATTGTCATCACTTATTGGGGTGCTATTTCGATGGGGGGTATTTTGTGGACTTATGCTTGCCTATGGGTTGTGCCATCTCGTGTGCTTACTTCGAGAGGTTTAGCACCTTTTTGGAGTGGGTCGTACGACGGGAATCGGCTGGGGGTGCTGTGGTGCACTACCTTGACGATTTCTTATGCGTTGGCCCACCACGCACGGAGCGCTGTAGCCAGGTGTTGAGGACCTTCCAGTGGGTGGCGCACACATTTGGGGTGCCGTTAGCAGAGGACAAAACGGTGGGGCCCACTACGTGCCTCAGCTTCCTGGGTTTGGAGATCGACTCGGTACGGAGGGAGTGCAGGTTGCCCGGGGACAAATTACATGCCCTTCAGCGGCTAGTGGACACGGTTGGTAGGGCGAGGAAGGTCACCTTGCGTGAACTTCAATCGTTGATAGGGAGCCTGAATTTTGCGTGCCGAGTGATCCCTATGGGGAGGGTCTTTTGCAGACGATTGGCGCGGGCGACAAGCGGGGTGAGAAAACCGTCGCATTATATTAGGGTGTCAGTGGACATGAGAGAGGACTTGGAGGTATGGGCTAGGTTTTTGAGGGAGTTTAACGGGAAAGTGTTTTTTCGGGAGCCGTTGGGAACCTCCACGGCCGTGGGTTTGTTTACGGATGCATCAGGCAGCATCGGTTTTGGGGCGTACCTAGCGGGTAAATGGTGCGCGGAGGGGTGGCCGGAGGCATGGAAAGCGAGCCCCTTGATTAGGAACTTGGCCTTTTTGGAGTTTTTCCCGGTTGTTGTGGCAGTGGCGTTATGGGGTCCGGAGTTAGCCAATAAGAGGGTGGTGTTCAATTCGGATAACATGGCAGTGGTGCAGGCTATCAACGGATTATCGGCTTCTTCATGGCCAGTGGTACGGTTGTTGAGGCAATTGGTTCTCTTGTGCATGTCTTTTAATATTGTGTTTCGCACTCGGCATATACCGGGGCTTACCAATGTTGTCGCTGACGCGCTGTCTCGCCTACAGTGGGAGCGTTTTCGGGAGGCGGCGCCGGAGGCGGAAGAAGAGGGTCAAGCCTGTCCGGCGGAGATGTGGGAGCTCGGGACGTCTTGCTTGGGGAGTACATAAAGAAGTCTCTGGCGCCTGGAACTTGGTTCTCCTATGTTAAGGTCTGGCAAGTGTGGGAAGACACGATGCAGCAGGTAGGGGTGACGGGCCCTGGGAGCAATCGGCTGGACATACTGTTATGGATCCTATGCAGGTTGTTCGCAAAGCAAGCGTCGCCATCAATGGTTGATAGGTACATGTCAGCGTTGGCGTTTTTGTTTAAGTTTAATGGATGGGAGGATGTGACGAAGCATTTTATAGTGAGGCAAGCGGTTCGGGGATACAGGAAAGGTAAGAAGACGAAGGATACGAGAAGACCAGTCTCCTTCACAGTGTTACAGGGGTTAGTGAACAAACTACCTGAGATATGTTTTTCTGTGTTTGAAGTGGCGTTATTTACAGTGGCTTTTTCGTGGGCCTTTTTTGGGGCGTTTCGGATTGGTGAGTTGCTTAGTGCCAACAAGAAAGGGGTTGGTGGGCTTAGGTTGGAAGATGTGACGGTTAGTAGGGACAGGGTGTTGATCCACCTGATTCAATCAAAGACGGATGTATTTGGTAAAGGTTCCATGGTCACGTTGTTTGGTTTACCAGGGTCGGGGTTGTGTCCGGTGGCAAGTGGGGCCGGGTTTTTGGAACTACGCCCGATAGGGAGCGGTTGTTTCTTCATACATGCCGACGGCACGGCACTGTCGCGCTTCCAATTTGTGCGGGTTTTCCGTTTGGGATTACAGAAGTTGGGTCTGGAGCCCATGCAGTTTGGAACACATTCATTCCGAATAGGCGCGGCGACAGAAGCGGCTCGCTTGGGTTTAGGGGATGAGCGGATTAGACGAATTGGGAGATGGGAATCTCTCAGGTTTCGCTCTTATGTACGGCCAGATAGGCTGGTGTGAAGGGGTGGTTGATTGTGGGTGTTTGGGATGTGCTGGTGATGTTTCCTCAATGTTATGTTTTATTTTAGGTTGGACGGTGTGGATAATTGGCCATTCGTATATCCATTGGGCAAGGAGGAGGGCCGCAGTTAGAAGACATGGAACACAGCTGGGCTTTCCTGAGGATCGGGTGGCGTTATTCTGGTTCGGTTATCGGGGGTTTGACTGGCAGCACATTATTACGGTATTGTTTCGGAAGGTAGCGGAGGAGCCCTTGCCGAACGTGGTGGTAATTCACGGGGGGGGAAATGACTTGGGTCTGGTCCCCCAACGTGAACTGGTTAAGTGTATGAAGCAGGACGTTGACAGACTAAGGGGGCTTGTCCCTGGCGTGAAAGTGGTGTGGTCGGAGATGGTACCTCGTTTATGCTGGAGATACGCCAGGGATGAGAAGGCAGTTTCTCGATGTCGGGGTAAAGTGAACAGGACCATGGCGGTGTTCATTCGAAGGTTAGGAGGCGTGGTGGTGAGACATCGGGAGTTGGAGGAGAGATTACCGGGTTACTTTCGTGATGACGGGGTGCACTTATCGGATGTTGGTTATGACCTTTTTAATTTAGGTTTGCAAGACGGGATAGCGCAAGCCCTGTTTTTGTGTGGTGGGGGTCGCACATGTCCTTAAGGGGTCAAGGCAAGTGCTGTGGCGGAAAAGGTCTTGGTTAAACTGGAATTTTGGTGGGTTAAGAAATTGGTAGGCCAAGGTCTAGGCTGGAGTAGGCCGGAAGTCAAAAGTATGGAGGTAGGTTCGAGCCCGTCGGTGGCTACGAACCAAGGGGTGTAGGGGTGTCTGGGTACACCCCTGCAGTTAGACAAATGGAGGTGGGGCCTCTTGGTAGGCCGTTGAGTTACGTGTATGTATTATTGGTTATGCTAATGTTTGTTTTGGTAGGGTCATTGTCGGGGGTATGATATAGGAAGAGAGCCTAACGAAGGAGTACTGTTGACAATGACCCTAAATTGTTAATTTATATATTGATATTAATTAATAAAGCTGTGGACTTTATACTCCAACAGAATTTTCTGTGTCTGCGTGTTATTAAAGTATGGTTGGCACATGCCGAATAACGACTGTGCAATAATGTCATGAAACCACGGAGCAACGCAGGGAGGAGTGGGCCTTGACAGAGCCAGGAGTAGGCAGGGTGAAGTTCAGGTCAAGAGGCTGTCCTGTGATTGTGCTGGGGGGCGTGGGTTAGAAGGGAAGTTTAAATAGCGGCCATTTTAGGGTAAGTTCATTCTAACTTGAGCCTTTCTTACCTGTAAATTGTCCCTCCCACCCACCCTATGAGTTAGTAGTAGTTCCCGTTTGGTCACAGCGGCGGGAAAAGGTCTTGGTTAAACTGGAATTTTGGTGGGTTAAGAAATTGGTAGGCCAAGGTCTAGGCTGGAGTAGGCCGGAAGTCAAAAGTATGGAGGTAGGTTCGAGCCCGTCGGTGGCTACGAACCAAGGGGTGTAGGGGTGTCTGGGTACACCCCTGCAGTTAGACAAATGGAGGTGGGGCCTCTTGGTAGGCCGTTGAGTTACGTGTATGTATTATTGGTTATGCTAATGTTTGTTTTGGTAGGGTCATTGTCGGGGGTATGATATAGGAAGAGAGCCTAACGAAGGAGTACTGTTGACAATGACCCTAAATTGTTAATTTATATATTGATATTAATTAATAAAGCTGTGGACTTTATACTCCAACAGAATTTTCTGTGTCTGCGTGTTATTAAAGTATGGTTGGCACATGCCGAATAACGACTGTGCAATAATGTCAAGGTTATTTGGCTGTCATTCTTATCAGTATCACTAGACTGTGACAAACTGATTCACATATAATTTAAAACAATACAGCAACATAAATTAAACCACTTTCAAGTTAAACTGCACACTTATCACACATTATCACAATCACCATTTACACAAAATAAACAGTTAACAGCTGTATTCAGAACATATTATTGGAAGGTATACCAATTTTAGTTTAGATTTATTTTAGGGATTCTTATGTATACATTTTCTTAATTAACTTCATTACTTTAATCTACTATAGTATTGTATTTAAAGAAAGGATCCATTTATATAGTGCGCTCATAACTCAACTATTTGTATAAAACTACCATTAACTAATCTGAGATGATGCTGCATCAACTTAAATCTTACAGAAATTGAACAAACATCTGGACCAGATTAAACAGACATGGTTTCACCTGAATCTTTCAGAACTCTCAGAGACTTAAAAATTTATACTGTACCATGTTTTAAAGGCATGGCAAACCTTTAGACCGGTCAGTCTCCAAGAGCCCTTAGTAACACAGGTAAAAACCTTTGTCCATGATGTCTGATTCAGGCTATATACCACAATTTAAAATAACACATAATGTGAGACATAGAAGACACAAGCAGTAGTTATTACACTGGATCATTTAAAAGGAACCTGTTGCAATAAAAAGGTTAGTTTACAGTGCAAAATAAAGCATGTGTTGGACCGCTGAAAATGTAAATGTTGCTCTCTTATTTTCAAACAAAAATTATATTTACAGTATGGATCCTTTGCAACAAACACACAGGGCAGGGAAGAAGTGCTGATTGGTGTTTCTATACAATTAATCCCATATGGGGAATTAACTTCCAAATACTAATGAAGTGACTTTTTGTCTCAGTTATAAAATATACTGAGCTCATCATGCAAACAATGCAACACATTTACACTATCCCACTCTCATAATAAGTGTAGTGGGCTTATGGTATTTTTAAAGCAACAATCATACCAGGCACACAGATCCCATGTGAAATAACTTACAATAAAACAGAGTAATAAACTTATACTTCTATGCGACAGAAAGAATAAAGCAAAAAGATTTAAGTAGGTCTATCAGGTACAACCTGTGAGTCATTTCTTTTCTAATATACAGTACTGCTATCTTGCAGAAAGATAAGTCCTGCGCTCACTCCCATCACTACTGGACAGCAGCAAGGACTACAGTACACATCAGCCCCAATATATGGTAAAAACCAAAGAAAAACAAGTTACCTGCGTTCTCTCCTTAATCCCTATGTATTTTTAAAACCTCCATTTGTTTAAAAGTACTGCTATCTTATATATACACATATACATATACACACACATATATACATACATATACACATTATACATACATACACATATACATGTACATATATTGGTCACTCAGGACATGAACTCACATTTCCCATACTGCTGACTCAGAGTGGGGACACTACTAACTTACCAAAGTGTGTCCCCAATATAGACAAACAATCACCCACAAAAAAAACACTTAAGACAAACAAAGGTGACCGGGAGAAAGAGAAGTTTGGGTTATACTTATAGATCTACAAACCGTGCTGCTCAGAACACCTATAGACTTAATAAACCGGAGACCTCTTATGGTCTCAAAACCTGTATCTACCTGAGATACCCTGTATCTATCTTAGATACTAACCTGGGTTACCAAAACCCTATAATAAACCGGAGACCTTTTATGGTCTCAAAAACCTGTATCTATCTTAGATACTAACCTGGGTTACCAAGAACCCCTATATATATTTAGACCAAATGTCTAATAAACCGGAGACCTCTTATAGTCTCAATATAAACCGGAGACCTCTCATGGTCTCAATATAACTAGAGTCCTTACACCTTTCCTATCTACTGGATACAGACTTACTGAACCAAAGGGGTCATAGACAATCAGCGTCAAATAAGACACAAAAAGGCTACTCACCGCAAATGGTTTTGCTGATCCAACTTCTATCCCACTTCTAGACACCAAGCTGAAAGGGTTAATGTTGTAATGGACTCTAATCCCCTCGGTTCTCGATCCCTCGGTCACCATAATCAACGTTGATGGAGAATCATTTGTAAGCAATAACACTCGGACAACAGCTTTACAAGACTCTCAAATGAGTGTATTCCAGAGCTGGCTTTTATACATAGTTTGCTTACATTAGCCATGGTATATGCAAATACAGTACAGACTATAAGATTTATTACTTCCTTATATTACGTTATTCTGACAATGGAAAGATAAGCTTTTGCATACGTCTGGAAAAGAATATCCTTAAAATCGGAATGGGCAAGACATCCTGAAATTTAGCATTGTCTTACATCCTATAGAAGAAATACCTTAGTCTGTCACAGTCAGCATATTATGTAAGTATTCAATATCCCTTCAGTCAGCAATAATCATGTTATAAACCTTATAAAAGCATAAAATACATATAAACAAGTTAACTATTTAATATTCTTACACATGGAGTCTGTTTCTGACCGTTTGAGCAGACACATGCACATTTGTGGCCTGCTGGAGGTCATTCTGCAGGGCTCTGGCAGTGCTCCTCCTGTTCCTCCTTGCACAAAGGCGGAGGTAGCGGTCCTGCTGCTGGGTTGTTGCCCTCCCATGGCCTCCTCCATGTCTCCTGATGTACTGGCCTGTCTCCTGGTAGCGCCTCCATGCTCTGGACACTACGCTGACAGACTCAGCAAACCTTCTTGCCACAGCTCGCATTGATGTGCCATCCTGGATGAGCTGCACTACCTGAGCCACTTGTGTGGGTTGTAGACTCTGTCTCATGCTACCACTAGAGTGAAAGCATCGCCAGCATTCAAAAGTGACCAAAACATCAGCCAGGAAGTATAGGAACTGAGAAGTGGTCTGTGGTCACCACCTGCAGAACCACTCTTTTATTGGGGGGTGTCTTGCTAATTGCCTATAATTTCCATCTGTTGTCTATCCCATTTGCACAACAGCATGTGAAATTGATTGTCACTCGGTGTTGCTTCCTAAGTGGATAGTTTGATTTCACAGAAGTGTTCCATCTAGTCTGCCCAATTTTCTAAATAATTTCATTAGTCCCTGGCAAGTTAGGATAGCCTTATGCCTATCCCATGCATACCTAAACTCCTTTACTGTGTTAACCTCTACCACTTAAGCTGGAAGGCTATTCCATACATCCACTACCCTCTCAGTAAAGTAATCCTTTCTGATATTATTTTTAAACCTTTGCCCCACTAATTTAAAACTCTGTCCTCTTGTTGTGGTAGTTTTTCTTCTTTTAAATATGGTCTCCTCCTTTACTGTGTTGATTCCCTTTATGTATTTAGATGTTTCTATCATATCCCCCCTGTCTCGTCTTTCCTCCAAGCTATATATGTTAAGATCCTTTAACCTTTCCTTGTAAGTTTTATCCTGCAATCCATGAACCAGTTTAGTAGCCCTTCTCTGAACCCTCTCTAAAGTATCAATATCCTTCTGGAGATACTGTCTCCAGTACTGTGTACAATACTCCAAGTGAGGTCTCACCAGTGTTCTGTACAATGGCATGAGCACTTCCCCCTTTCTACTGCTAATACCTCTCCCCAAGCATTCTGATAGCATTTCCTGCTGCTCTATTACATTGTCTGCCTACCTTTAAGTCATCAGAAATAATCACCCCTAAATCCCTTTCCTCAGATGTTGAGGTTAGGACTCTATCAAATATTCTGTACTCTGCCGTTAGGTTTTTACATCCAAGATGTATTATCTTGCATTGATTCAATGCTTTCCCATGAGGTAGTCCTAATGCGAGCGCTGCGCTTGCCGTGCATGCACATTAGGTGACCGAAGTTGGCTGACACTAGGGGAAGAGGAGCAGAGGGAAACCGGCACTGGATTCAGGTAAGTGAAAAAATAGTTTTTAACCCTTTCTGTGCCGCGGGTGGGGGTGCAAGCGAGGGGGTACTATTGGGTACTATAGTGCTAGGAATACAATTTTATATTCCTAGCCTATAGTTTCCCTTTAATGCAAGTGTAGCTGAACTGAAAGCATACCTGACTTACAGAATGTTTCCACTTCGGCTGGCAGTGAATTGAAAACTGAATTGCAAATTATAGACAAATCTAACTTTTTCCATATCTTTCATTTTGGTTATATTTTCAAGTATGCTTTACAATTCCTTGCAATTCTATATTTGAGCAGAATAATCAATTACTTTAATAAATGTATGTTACCTGGCATTCACTTAAACTATATGTGCCATGCTAAAAAATAACATGATGTCACTTAGGAGTGAATACAGTTCTATATATTGTGAGATATATTGTGCTATAATGCATACTTCATCCCTCCCAAAAGTCCTGGATTCTCAGGACAGTCCTGAATGTTGGTCCCTGTCCCTCTGTCTTGGGTTTGTTATTTGTTTACTGTAGCGGATGGCACTGGGCTGTCCTGCAAATGTCTTGTGAATAACTGCATTCGTGTGATCTGCTAGTTTTCTATGTGTTTAAAAGAATTGTATTCCTCTGATTGTTCGGTAGAATCATTCGAATAAACTAAGGGAATGAAACTACCGAACAATCAGACCTCCCCTGTGTTAAGTGTGTCCTCAATCACCCGTTGCAACATTGTTGTGAACGGGTAATTGACAAGTTAAGTAGCCGTCCTTTGTTCTCGGGGGTGGCCGCCATTCGACAAACGAACACGTGGCGGCGTCCATTTTAAAACTCCTGAACAGCGGTGTTTTGCCGTCGAGTGTCTGGAACTCAAATCGGACACTCGACTAGGCGAACACCGCTGAAACCTCCACAAGCCCGGTCCGTTCGGTTCCAAACTACCGAACGGCCCCTCGTTCGGTAGATAGAAAGAACCGAACGAGGGGATTCAGGCGAACCCTCCCTAGCCTCTATAGCTTTCGTGCAGTTTGTTCCCTTATTCCAGGACCGACCGCAGGGCCCATTCGCATGGAACTGTATTCGGCTATTTCAGTCAGTGCGGTCGGTCATTTTAATTCCCTCCATAAATTTCCCGAACCCCTGGTCTGATCTGTGTGATTTTTGGATATGTTGTTCACCCAGATCAGGGCTATCAGGGGATGTAGGATTTAAAGGGGTACCCCTACGTTTAGGGGTACATCCAGAAACGGGGGGAATTGCTAGACTGGATAAGGGGATTATGATGCTGGCTGAGGGGAGGAGATGTGTGGGAGGTTACCAGGACAGGATTGGCTACTGTACTAATGAGTGTAAATCCCTCCCTTGCATGGGAGCATGCTTTAAAAGGACACTGTGGATTAAAAGAGTTCAGTTCTGCTCCTGAAACTGTGTGTCGTCCAGTTATTGGGATTGCTGTTGGGATATTACTGTTATTTTACCTGCTGGAAACCTTGCCTGTGGATTTACTATTTACTTGTTCCTGAGCCTCACTTGGATTATAAGCTGAGATAGCCTGGGGAATATTGCATCTCCGCTTACATTTACCTCTTCTTGACTGTAACACCCCTTCCCCATTCATAAATCTACTAATACAGGTGATACTCAAG